GAATAGACCAAAGTGTCACATGTGATTATCAAAATGCATTAAAAGAGGGCTTTTGCCACTTTACTTCTGAATACATATAAAAATTTTAAATTGACATACCACAGACTGTATTTCTGGGGATTGAGATTGATAGATCAAGCCTTTTTAAAATATATATTTATTGATTTATTTGGCTGCACTGCGTCTTAGTTGCGGCACGTGGGATCTTCATTGCAGGATCTTCGTTGCAGCGGCATGCACTCTTAGCTGCGCCATGTGGACTCCTAGTTGCAGCATGCATGTGGGATCTAGTTCCCTGACAGGAATCGAACCCGGGCTCCCTGTGTTGGGAGCATGGCCTCTTAACCACTGGACCACCAGGGAAATCCCTAGATCAAGCCTTTTAATTTTACTTTTCAAATTGTTTGAAAGGCTCATTTTAACATGTATAACTTTTATAGTAAAAAAGAACTCTAGCGTGATGTTAGCTATTTATCCTAAGGAGCCGATGTCATGTCATACTTCCAAAAGTTATGTTTTATAAAACATAGTGGAGGGACTTCCCTGGCGGTCCACTGTTTAAGACTCCACGCTCCCAATGCAGGGGGCACAGGTTCGATTCCTGGTCGGGGAACTAAGATCCTGCATGCAGCACGGCACAGCAAATAAATAAAATAAAATAAAATAAAAGTACTACTTAACAAAAAAACAGTGGAAAATTGGACACAACAGGAACGTGCAATTACAGGGTATTAGTTCCATAAATTGTAGATTATCCATGTAGTGTACTACATAGCCATTAACAATGATGTTTTAAGGTCTAGCTCAGTGGTTCTCAATCAGGGGCGATTTCGCCTCCCCGGGGACCTTTGGCAATGTCCAGAGACATTTTGGGTTGTCACACTGGGGGAGGGGAGGGCTCCTTGCATCTAGTGGGTAGAGGCCAGGGATGCTGCTAAACATCCTACGGTGCACAGGACAGTCTCCACGGGAAAGAATGATCCCCAAATAGCAATAGTGCTAAGGGTGAGAAACCCTAGTTTAGCTAAATAATTATATTGTCATGGAAGCTTTACCTCCCTCATATCTGTAAATAATCTTTTTTAGTAGCATTTTATCTCTCTCTCTCTCATACTTGGAATACAGTTATCTATGTTCATGTCTTATTTACCTTCCTAGGTAGAAAGCTCCTTTTTACAGATAGGATATGTGCCTCACTCATCTCGGTATAACCAGCAACCAGACCACCTTGTGTCTCGTAACTGTTTAATAAATGTTTGTTGAGTTATTACATAAGAATAACAGATCATGGCACTGTAAGTATTGAAATGGAACGATGTCCACAATATACTTTACTGGGAAAAAAAGCAGATTAGAAAACAATGTGAGTGATCTATAGATTCAGTGTAGTCCTTATTACAATCCCAACTAACTTCTTTGCAGAAATTGATAAGCTGACCCTCAAATGCAGATGGAAGATCAAGGGGCCTGGAAAAGCCAAAACAGTCTTGAACAAAGGTGGAGGACTCACACTGTAGAACTCTTCGAAGAAAGGATAGGAGTAAATCTTCGAGACTGTGGGTTAGGCAGTGATTTCTGAGATATGACACCAAAAGAACAAGTGACCAAAAAAAAAAAAAAAAAAGAAAAAAAACAAACCACACAAAAAAAACCCCGATAAACTGGACTTCATCAAAATTTAAAACTTCTGGGGCTTCCCTGGTGGCGCGGTGGTTAAGAATCCACCTGCCAATGCAGGCGACACGGGTTCAAGCCCTGTTCTGGGAAGATCCCACATGCCGCAGAGCAACTAAGCCTGTGCGCCACAACTACTGAGCCTGCGCTCTAGAGCCCTCGAGCCACAACTACTGAGCCCGTGTGCCACAACTACTGAAGCCCACGCGCCTAGAGCTCATGCTCCACAACAAGAGAAGCCACCGCAATGAGAAGCCCGTGCACTGCAATGAAGAGTAGCCCCTGCTCGCTGCAACTAGAGAAAGCCTGCATGCAGCAACGAAGACCCAGTGCAGCCAAAAATAAATAAATTTATTTTAAAAAGTAAATATTTATTAAAGAATAATTTAAAACTTCTGTGCTGCTAATGATACATCAAGAAAGTGAACGGACAACCCATAGAATGGGAGAAAATTTTTGGAACTCATATATCTCATAAGAAAATGTATCCAGAATGCATAAAGAACTCTTACAACTCAATAATAAAAGATAACCCAGTTTTAAAATGGGCAAAGGATATGAATAGACATTTTTCCAATGAAGATGTACAAATAGCCAATGCAGGGGAGGGAAAAGGATTTTTTCTTCTACCCTTCTAAGTTCTCAGCTTGGGCCCCTGTAACAAAAGATAGATTAACAAGAGAAAAGCATACAAATTTATTTAATATAAGTTCTATGTGACACAGGATCTTTCATAAGGAAATGAAGACCTGAAGAAGAGGTTAAACATGAATGCTTTTATGCTAGGTTTGATGAAGAGCAGAGAAATATAATAAGACAAAAAGGATATGAGCTAAGAATAGTAAACCGGGGTATTGCGTGTCCTGAACCCCGCACCAATAAGCACATGAAGAGGGAAATGTAAGTAAAATCACAGTAAGAAGCTGCTTTACACACACAAGAATGGCTATAATGAAAAAGACAGACAATAACAAGTGTTGGTGAGGATGTGGAGAAACTGGAACTCTCACACATGGCTGGTGGGAATGTAAAATAAGGCAGCCGCTTTGGAAAACAGTTTGCAGTTCCTCAAAAAATTAAACATAGAGTCACCATATGACCCAGCAATTCTACTGCTAGATATGTACCCAAGAGAAATGAAAACATATATTAACACAAAAAGTTGTACACAAACGTTCATTGCAGCATTATTCATAGTAGTCAAAAAGAAGGACTTCCCTGGTGGCGCAGTGGTTAAGAATCCGCCTGCCAATGCAGGGGACACGGGTTTGAGCCCTGGGCGGGGAAGATCCCACATGCCGCGGAGCAACTAAGCCCATGCACCACAACTACTGAGCGTGCGCTCTAGAGTCTGCGAGCCACAACTACTGAAGCCTGTGCTCCACAAGAGAAGCCACTGCAATAAGAAGCCTGCACACCGCAATGAAGAGTAGCCCCCACTCACCACAACTAGAGAAAGCCCAAGCGTAGCAACGAAGACCCAACACAGACAAAAATAAATAAATTTATTTTTTAAAAAAGTAGAAACAACCCAAATGTCCATCAGCTGATGAATGGCTATATAAAATATGGTATATCCATTAAAATGGGATATTATTTGGCAATAAAGAGAAATGAAGTACAGATATATCCTACACCATGGATAAACCTTGAAAATATGCTAAGTGAAAGAAACCAGGCATAAAATGCCATATATTGTAATAGTCTGTTTAAATGAAACGTACAGAATAGGCAAATCCATTAGAGACACAAAGTAGGTTAGTGATTGCCTAGGGTTGGGAAGTTTGGGGGGAAATGGGGAGTGACTGCTAATGGGTCCAGATTTCTTTTAGGGAGAATGAAAATGTTTTCAAAGTAGATTGTGGCAATAGTTGCACAAACCTGTAAATATACTAAAACCCAGTCATTTGTACACTTTAAATGGGTGAATTGTACAGTATGTGAATTATATCTCAATAAAGGTATTTTTTTTTAAAGTAAAAGCAACACTACGTGTATTTGCTCCCTCAAATGTAGTTTGCTAAGATAAATGTGGAATGTTAGTGGGTCAGCTTGCACCTGGTTTTCAAAAACATTCATTGTGAAACCCCTGATTGATGAGTTGCAGCTGCACTAGGAGGGAGGTGATTTGGCACTTACTCTCAGAGACAAGGCACCCAGCGTATTGTACAGGTAGGTGCCGCATGGAAGGGGCAGCGGCCCTGAGTTGAAGTACTCAGCACCGGGTTCAACCCAATGTTTGCAACTGAGCATGCTCCGTGTGGTGGAGGGACCTGGAAGCTGTGCCTGACCACCCCAGAAAGCAGCTGCTTTTTGGCTACATGCATTGCATTGCTTATTGCATATCTTTTAAAGCTGTGTAAACTAGCGTGGGAGGGGGCGTTACCACAATGTGTAGTGCATTCTTCTAGTTAGCTACATTAGCTAGTGATTCTCTTTGGGTGACCAAATTCTGGGTGATCTTTATTTTCTTTATACTTATCTGTATTTTCTGATTTTTTAAATCTATAAGATTTTCTTTCTTTTTTAATAAAATGGTCTGAAAAACAGAAGTCTTTGCATTCGTGGACTATGTCCTACTTGGTCATGGTGAATGATTCTGTTGACGTACTATTGAATTGTTTGCTATTATACTGTTTATAGTTTTTCATCTAGTGCTTTGGTCTTCTGTTTTTTTTCAAACTACAAGCGTACCTCATTTTATTGCCCTTCACTTTATTGTGCTTCACGTATGTTGCATTTTCTACAAATTGAAGGTTTGTGGCAACCCTGCTTCGAGTAAGTCTATCGGCACCATTTTTTCCAACAACATTTGCTTACTTTGTGTGTCACATTTTGGTAATTCTGGCAATATTTTAACTTTTTAATTACTGTTGTTATATTTGTTATGGTGATTTGTGATCAGTGTTTTTTTAAAATAAATTTATATTTTTGGCTGCATTGGGTCTTTGTTGCTGTGTGCAGGCTTTCTCTAGTTGCAGCGAGCTGGGGCTACTCTTTGTTGCAGAGCATGGGCTCTAGGTGCGTGGGCTTCAGTAGTTGTGGCACGTGAGCTCACTCAGTAGTTGTGGCTTGCAGGCTCTAGTGCACAGGTTCAGTAGTTGTGGCGCACAGGCTTAGTTGCTCTGCGGCATGTGGGATCTTCCCCGACTCAAACCCGTGTCCCCTGCATTGGCAGGCGGATTCTTAATCACTGCGCCACCAGGGAAGTCCCTGATCAGTGATCTTTGATATTAGTATTACAAAAAGATTATGACTTGCCGGAGGCTCGGATGATGGTTAGCATTTTTTAGCAATAACATATTTTTAAATTAAGGTACATACTTTTTTTTTTTAGACATAATGCTGTTGCACACTTAATAGACTACAGTATAGTGTAAACATAACTTTTATATGCACTGGGAAACCAAAAAAGTCGCATGACTCTCTTTACTGCGATATTCCCTTTATTGCAGTGGTTTGGAACTAAACCCGCAATATCTCCGAGATATGCCTGTAAACTCTTCAAGATTCAATTTCAGGGTTATACTGTCCTCATAAAATGAATTAGAGAGTTTGCATGCTGTTCTATAATCTGGAGCTTGTTAGTTGAGTAGTATAGGAATAATCTGTTATAGATTGCTGATTTATTATAAAAGGATATAACTCAGGAACAGCCAGATGGAAGAGATGCATAGGCAAGGTATGGGAAGGGAATGGAGCTTCCACGCCCTCTCCAGGCACCACTGTCCCAGCACCTCCACCCAGAAGTTCTCTGATTTATTGTTGTTGTTGTTGGAAATGATATAGTAATGTTGTCTTAAAGAAAAAATAAACCTTTACGAAGAGTTTAGCTTTTTCGTTTTTTCCATACCAGGAGTGTCAGCGGTAGGGCTGGATGCTGGGCAGAAGAGTCAGTACCTGCCCAGGGCCCTCCCATTCTGTGCGCATCGGCTGGAGCGTGTGCTCGGTTAGGGGCTGCTGAATTCTGGCACCAACTGATCCAGGAGAGGCCTCACCCCTTCACCCCTGGTCTCTGTTTTGACTGCGCAGGCGCATTGAACAGCCCGGCATAGTGAGTGGAGAGATGGGGAATACATTTTTGGGATCAGGCACGAAGCAGGCTGAGTTGAGGTACCAGCTGCATAGGGGAGTGCCAAGAAGTACCACATGCCTGGCACCCGGAAACAGGAATCCCCTTCATCCAGCGGAAAGCTGGGTCTCAGGTTAGCTTCTCCACCCCCAATCCACGGTGGGAGAGTCATGGGTTCCATCTTGGTTGTTGCCAGCTACCACTGAGAGAGTTCCTGGGCTCATTCATCTAATAATCCCTGCTGGCTCTCCTCACTTTTAAGCAGTTACATAGTACTATCCTTTGTTTAAACAGGGAGTGTCTATCTCACAAGCCTAGGCTCATACCTTCTCAAATAGATTTTCCTTAGTAGTGTCAAGAGAATTCAAAATGCATATACTCTTTTATGTTACATTTCTTGCTAACGGTCAGATTACTAAAGATTTCTTTTAAAATGTGTATTTTATTTTATGGCCCCACGGCCTGTGGGATCTTAGTTCCCCAACCAGAGATCGAACCCACATGTCCTGCATTGCAAGCGCGGAGTCTTAACCACTGGACCGCAACGGAAGTCCCTAAGATTTTTTTTTAATTGAAGTGTAGTTGATTTACAGTGTTCTGTTAGAGATTACTAGAGAATTCTAAACTATCCGTTTTATAAATGTGCTGTTTCACCTCAGTAAAACACAGACTAGTTTCCATCTCTAGCCACAGGAGGGCGCACAAATACATCAATCAAGTGAAGTTTGGTATAAAACGTTTTGGGAAGATCCTTGCTTGGGTTGAGAAAGAAAAGAAAACAAAACAAAACACAACATGAGCAGTATAGTACTCTTGTTATTAGTGTAGACCAGCACTGTCCCATAGAACTTTCTGCGGTGATGTTAGTGTTCTGTATCTGTGCTTTCCAGTGGATCAACCACTAGCCACATGTGGATACTGAACTCAAATGTGGCTAATGTGACTGAGGAAATGAAATTTTAATTGTAGTTAATTTAATTATAAATTTAAATAGCTATGTGTGGCTAGTGGCTGCCATATTGGACCACACAAATCTAGAGGACTAGACTTTATAGGAATATGGTTTTTCTGAATGGCTTTATGATGTTGGCATTTAAACAACTTTGACTCTAACAGCAATAACTTAAGAGGTAAAGGGCAGTAACAGTGATGTTCCCACCATTGGCCAGCTACTGTGCCAGGCACACTTATATACCCATCTCATCTCACTTGACCTTCACTAGGCACCTGAGAGATGGATATCAGTGTGCCCATTTTATGAATGAAGAAGCACACTCCAGAGAGAAGTAACTGGCCCAAAGTCATCGGGTTAGTCATCAAGCCAGATATACCCATTTAATATTTTTTGAGAACCTGCAATGTGCCAATAAATATATCAGCTAGGCACTATTATAGACACTGGAAATCTATAATAGGAAACAATGCTTGATATGGGGGCCTTTTTAGTAAATGCTATCATTCTGTGTAGTGTTGACTTAAAAAAATGCACAACGTGAGAGTTCCGAGTTAAGTTTTTTTTTTTAAACAAGTGCTATATATATATATTTTCTATTTATAGACAGTCCTGTATTATTGCTCTCATCAGTGTTTTATAGTTTTCTGAAAATATATCACACCCAAGTTTTGACAGATTTATTCTTTTTTTTTTTGAGGTTGATCATGCCATTTTATTTTATTTATTTATTTATTTTAACATCTTTATTGGGGTATAATTGCTTTACAATGGTGTGTTAGTTTCTGCTTTATAACAAAGTGAATCAGCTATACATATACATATGTTCCCATATCTCTTCCCTCTTGCGTCTCCCTCCCTCCCACCCTCACTATCCCACCCCTCCAGGCGGTCACAAAGCACCGAGTTGATCTCCCTGTGCTATGCGGCTGCTTCCCACTAGCTATCTACCTTACGTTTGGTAGTGTATATATGTCCATGCCTCTCTCTCGCTTTGTCACAGCTCACCCTTCCCCCTCCCCATATTCTCAAGTCCGTTCTCTAGTAGGTCTGTGTCTTTATTCCTGTCTTACCCCCAGGTTCTTCATGACATTTTTTTTTCTTAAATTCCATATATATGTGTTAGCATACAGTATTTGTCTTTCTCTTTCTGACTTACTTCACTCTGTATGACACACTCTAGGTCTATCCACCTCATTACAAATAGCTCAATTTCATTCCTTTTTATGGCTGAGTAATATTCCATTGTATATATGTGCCATATCTTCTTTATCCATTTGTCCGATGATGGACACTTAGGTTGTTTCCATCTCTGGGCTATTGTAAATAGAGCTGCAATGAACATTTTGGTACATGACTGTTTTTGAATTATGTTTTTCTCAGGGTATATGCCCAGTAGTGGGATTGCTGGGTCATATGGTAGTTCTATTTGTATTTTTTTTTTTTGCTTCAAATACATACATACTTTTTAATTTTTAAAACATGTAAAATATTACCTATTCAAAAAAATAAAATTTAAAAAGAAAATAAGCACTGCATCATTACATTATGCTTCTGAAAGTGGCAGTTATAAATTTGCTACCTTTCTTACTCTGCATTATTTTTTTTTCATTTTAACATATTTATTGGAGTATAATTGCTTTACAATGGTATGTTAGTTTCAGCTTCACAACAAAATGAATCAGTTATATATATACATATGTTCCCATATCTCTTCCCGCTTGCGTCTCCCTCCCTCCCACCCTCCCTATCCCACCCCTCCAGGCGGTCACAAAGCACCGAGCTGATCTCCCTGTGCTATGTGGCTGCTTCCCACTAGCTATCTACCTTACGTTTGGTAGTGTATATATGTCCATGCCTCTCTCTCGCTTTGTCACAGTTTACCCTTGCCCCTCCCCATAGCCTCAAGTCCATTCTCTAGTAAGTCTGTGTCTTTATTCCTGTTTCACCCCTAGGTTTTTCATGACTTTTTTTTCTTAAATTCCATATATATGTGTTAGCATACGGTATTTGTCTCTCTCTTTCTGACTTACTTCACTCTGTATGACAGACTCTAGGTCTATCCACCTCATTACAAATAGCTCAATTTCGTTTCTTTTTATGGCTGAGTAATATTCCATTGTATATATGTGCCACATCTTCTTTATCCGTTCATCCGATGATGGACACTTAGGTTGTTTCCATCTCTGGGCTATTGTAAATAGAGCTGCAATGAACATTTTGGTACATGAGTCTTTTTGAATTATGGTTTTCTCAGGGCATATGCCCAGTAGTGGGATTGCTGGGTCATATGGTAGTTCTATTTGTAGTTTTTTAAGGAACCTCCATACTGTTCTCCATAGTGGCTGAACCAATTCACATTCCCACCAGCAGTGCAAGAGTGTTCCCTTTTCTCCACACCCTCTGCAGCATTTATTGTTTCTAGATTTTTTGATGATGGCCATTCTGACTGGTGTGAGATGATATCTCATTGTAGTTTTGATCTGCATTTCTCTAATGATTAATGATCATTTTGAGCATTTTTTCATGTGTTTCATGTGTTTGTTGGCAGTCTGTATATCTTCTTTGCAGAAATGTCTATTTAGGTCTTCTGCCCATTTTTGGATTGGGTTGTTTGTTTTTTTGTTATTGAGCGGCATGAGCTGCTTGTAAATTTTGGAAATTAATCCTTTGTCAGTTGCTTCATTTGCAAATATTTTCTCCCATTCGGAGGGTTGTCTTTTGGTCTTGTTTACGGTTTCCTTTGCTGTGCAAAAGCTTTGAAGTTTCATTAGGTCCCATTTGTTTATTTTTATTTTTATTTCCACTTCTGTAGGAGGTGGGTCAAAAAGGATCTTGCTGTGATTTATGTCATAGAGTGTTCTGCCTATGTTTTCCTCTAAGAGTTTGATAGTTTCTGGCCTTACACTTAGGTCTTTAATCCATTTTGAGCTTATTTTTGTGTATGGTGTTAGGGAGTGATCTAATCTCATACTTGTACATGTAGCTGTCCAGTTTTCCCAGCACCACTTATTGAAGAGGCTGTCCTTTCTCCACTGTACACTCTTGCCTCCTTTATCAAGGATAAGGTGACCATATGTGCGGGGGTTTATCTCTGGGCTTTCTATCCTGTTCCATTGATCTATCTTTCTGTTTTTGTGCCAGTACCATACTGTCTTGATTACTGTAGCTTTGTCTGAAGTCAGGGAGCCTGATTCCTTCAGCTCTGTTTTTCGTTCTCAAGATTGCTTTGGCTATTCGGGCTCTTTTGTGTTTCCATACAAATTGTGAAATTTTTTGTTCTAGTTCTGTGAAAAATGCCAGTGGTAGTTTGATAGGGATTGCATTGAATCTGTAGATTGCTTTGGGTAGTAGAGTCATTTTCACAATGTTGATTCTTCCAATCCAAGAACATGGTATATCTCTCCATCGATTTGTATCATCTTTAATTTCTTTCATCAGTGTCTTATAATTTTCTGCATACAGCTCTTTTGTCT